CTTCAGTGGTGCAATTGAGTGTTTGATATTTTGGAATAATTCTGAACAGCAATCTTCAAAAATTGGGTAAACGAGTGCGACATTTTGTTATCTGATGCAAGATTCCTTTTCTAAGATGAAGTAGGAATAATTTTACAACAATACAAAGAAAACTTTAATAAAGTCATAAATTTGCAACCTTTGGTGTGTTTTAATGAAAAATGTCTAATCAAGATTGGGATAATTCATTGATTGGGAAAATCAAGATTCGCACTTGGGGTTGGAGCATTGGACTAGAAATTTTCGCATTGCCACTAATCACTATGTGAAAGCAGAGATCACCTACATGTGCAGTGCGCAAAATAAAAAAACGGACTATCCTGAACAACTTTCGATTTAATGATTGGATCTTTGCGTTTTAGACTTAATCTTAAAAGTTCGAAGGGGTGACCTCAAATATACTCTAATTAATTATTGCAAACGAGATTTTAAGTTACGAAATTAGACACAAAAACGTACTTACTCTGAATAAACATAATTTTTTTTTGTTTTTCTTCTTGTGGACGTATTCGGATTTCTGACCCTCAAGATATAGGGGTAGCTGAAATCTGGGAAATATGGCCCCAATAGTTTGATCAAGAGAGCGGTCCAAATTTTGGACCGCTTGAGATTTTGCTCGTTTTTTGGGTCTTGACGACAAGACACTTACTGCTTAGTTTGGACTTCCGGCAACAACAGTATGCCAAGCTAAATTCATAAGTCAATCAATTTGTTTCGTAAACTATTTTTTTATAAAATTTATTTCTAAAAAAATAAAGATGAAAATATTTTGAAGAAACAATATTCATTCAAACACCCGGTTATAAACATCCAGGAATCTTTAGTTGTCATTTTTGGATTGTGACATGAGCTATGTTCTGAAAATTTTGAAAATATAATGATTTAGACTAACTTTCTCTACATGTTAGCTAATATATTTTTCCAATTCAGACGCAGATATTCCTATATTTGAGACGACTTTCTCAGTACTTTATATTAGTATATTAATTAATAGAAAGTAACGTTCGACTATATTGCAGGAATTGTCAGATTTTAGTTAGCCAAAGGCTTAAAAATGATAACTTTCTTATATAAATGTATCAAATTATATAAAGTGGGTACTGTTAGTCAATTAAAATAAAACAAATGCAAACTTACCAAAGATTTCTTTATCGGTGTTAACTACTATCTAAGCGATGGGGAGGGAATGTGAGGAGGCATGAGTGCTTTCATTAAGCATATTTGAGTGCATCTGAAGGCGAATTTTTACGGAAATTTTTGTTTATAGACATTTTGTTCGGAAAAATATATTGTTTTTTCCCCCACATACTAAGTTATTGAAAATGAGATTATTTTTAATATTTTATTTCTGTAAAGAAAGAGCTACACCGTAAAACAGTTTTTGTTTTTTTTAATCTCAATTTTTGAACATTTAACATTTTAATTGTAAATCTTTAAAAACATATGATTATCAATTGCCTAAAATACTTTAGCTATTAAGGAATTGGATATTAGCTAAAAAAATTATAATATTATGTGCCAAATAAATTTTATTTCAGTTATTATGTAGTTATAGATATAACGCAAAGGAGTTTCAAACATATGTAATTTTCTTTAACCAAAAACAATAACGTACATTTTCCGAAAGGCTACAAGTCTTAAAGAATAAAACTCAAGATGAACCAAAAAGTTTCCTAATGACAATGAGTTGTTGAGGAAGGAAGTAACTTTAGTTTATATCGATATGGGTTTTTCCAAGTTTCAGGCGTAAAGTATAACTCATACTGTTAAGAGAAAGAAAATTAACAATTCAGGAAAACAACAAAGATATTTCATAACTTAGACAAAAGAAAAGAGTTACTGAAATAATAATTTAGAGAATTATAAGATCTGAACTAATGTAATCTAACTAGATCTGAAATAGTTATAAATATCACTGTAAATACAAACATGAAAGAAATGCATATATAAAGAAGGAATTTAGCGTTGTCTTTGCTTATAGCACGATTTTCTATTTCAAAAGACTCACATTTAATTTTTTTTTACAACATGAAATGTGGGTGTTTAATGTCTTTCTACACCTTTTCCTTCCAAGCTCTTTAATTCTCTAAGCGTTAAATAAGCCAACTCCAAAGCTATATACAAAAAAGAATTATAGCTTTCCTTGCTTGTAGAACGAATTTGCATTTACACGTATTAAACATGTTCTTTAACACACGAAATTTTGAGTTTTGATATCTCCTAACACCTTCCGCTATTCTCTTTAACTTTTATCTAGGCACTAATAAACCCAATTCTCAAGTTATAATGCTAACATGTTCACATGCTTCTGTTCATGTATGCTAATACTTAACATGTTCATATGCACATGACATTTGCTGTCTGATATCTCTAACACGTTCTTCTTCTAAGTTTTTCAACACTCTGATCATTGAAAAAACTAACTTTAAAGTTACCGTAAACCGGGGCGAGTCTACCCATTTTTTCAGTTTGTCAACTTTCAATTAAAGAAAAAAGGCTTTTAATAGGTGTTTCGGAATCGCTATTTATACCTCTTTAGAGCTGTGAAATTGATTTTAGAAAATATTAACAGTTACGCTGTTACTGTATACTTTTATAGAACTGCTGACAAATCTCTCGTATGGGACGAGTCTACCCATTCTACTAAAATGAATGTTAACATTGTAAATAATCAAATTTTACTATTAAATTGTTATTTTAGTTACTATATAGGATATTTATGAAGTAAAATTCATAACTTTATTATATATTCCATTTTTTTATTCATAAAATAACACAAATTGAGTATTTGATCGATTATCACATTTTGATCACAGTTTTGTTTTTATAATCATTAACATTATAAAATAACATTTTTTTCTGATTATTGTTGATAAAAATAAATTAAAATTAATATAAATTTACAATTAAATAATTAATAAATAATAATAATTAAAGATTATTAACAAAATCGAAATTCAAACATTGGGAATCATGAAAAATCCTTTTCCCATTCTTTTGGGAGGTAATAATAATTTATAAATAATAATTTATTTAACTTGCATTAAATAAAAAAAGTTAATTTTGTAATATAAAAATTGAAAAAATAGGTAAAATAAACATATTTTATATTTACATTTATATTTAACCTATAAATTTTCTTATTAATGATAAATTTATCAATGCAGAATTAAAATAATATACTCAAATTCATTTAAAATGACTTAATTTTAATATAAACAAAGTTCTAAATTATATTATTATGCTTTATTAAAACTAAATACGAATGGGTAGACTCGCCCCGCGAATTCTGGCTTTTTGTTTACAACAGCAAAACTTACATTTTTTTTTTTTTTTTTTTTCATATAAAATTAATGTAATCTTAGTCTTAGATAAGTTTATCACTTAACCAAAGGGAAATAGTAATAATAATAATATACTTACGGAGAACCAACTAAAAGTTTGCTGATTTTCAATACAAATCTCTCAAAAGACGTTTGAACAGGTCGGTTAAAAAGACACCAAATAAATAAAAACGGGTCAAACTACTACAGCACCATCTTCCTTAGAGTCTGAACTAAGTTCTCCGTCGGTAAAAAATTTTTTATTTGCAATTTAAAATAGTGAAAATTAAATAAAACTAAAATGGGTAGACTCGCCCCTGGATGGGTAGACTCGCCCCGGTTTACGGTATGGAAAAGGAGAAAAGGGAGTAAAAAAAATTCAATAGAAAGTAAGGATAATAAGCATTTACAGGAAGAAAGAAAACATCCTTAGACTAATTTAATTTCTTATAGTATTTTTGCCATAACTGTCTAAAAAATAATAGCCAGGGTAATAAATTATTCGAAAAATAAGAGAAAAAAAGTGATAAATTTTTTGATATCAAATCTAAGTAAACCTTTACCTTCAAAATATACACTTCAGGAGATATCCTTTTCCGTAAGCTTTCATTTCGCAAAAAAAGTAATCAGTTTTAAAAACACTAGTTTAGGAATATATTCTGCTGGTATTTTAAATTTAGTTTAATTTCTTTATTCACTATAACTATAACAGCAATATCTTGTTTAATTTTTGGAATGCAATGTTTTTTTTTTATTTAATTTTTAAAAAACTTAATTTCAGCGTAAAGCATGAAAAATACACATACGATTATTCTAACGTTTCCTTAAATGGATAAGCATATTTTGTAATCATATAAAAATTTCTTTTTTCATACGAAGCATCTTTCAACAAGAAAGAAATTTATATTTGCTCACTTATTTATTTTTTATTCCAGAACTATAATTCGCACTTATATATTTTTTTAAAAAAACTAACAGAAGTATATTAGCTAAAAATTCAAATTTTCAGATTTATTTTTAAATACAAGTAAATCAATTTAGATATAATTAAAACTGTAAAAAAACTAACAATAAATTAAGGGGATGTTTTTTCAGAGAACTTATTTACTTTCAATCAAAAATCAAGACAATAAATGTTAATTTAACCTTAAAATGGTTTTATAAATTATCGTTATAATGGATTAATAAATGCATCAAACCATTTTAAAGCTAAATTAATAATTACGTTTAAATGATTTAATGAATTTATTTAGGTAAATTTGAAGAACACAACAATAAGAACTTTTGAGTTCTCAAATATATGATTCATAACTTATAATAATTAAGATATTATTGGGAGTGTAAATTCCTTAACTTAAAATAATTAATTAATTAATCGTTATACATAAATTCCATTCAAAATTGAAATTAGTTCACAAGAGTTTAAAATTGAATTAAACAGACAAGTAGCTCGAAACATACATTTATTTGTGTAACTGGCATGCCAAGTTTTGTCAAAATTTTTAATTAAAACTTAAAAACAGTAAGAAAAAAAATAATTTCACTGTAAAAACAATAATAGTTTTAAAAAAATCATAATTAAACAGTAAAAATAAGAAGTATAATTTTAAAAACAATTAAAAGTAAAGCAAAACATACCATTAATTATCTTGATCAACAATTCCTCAGCACTAGAAAAAAAAAATTAAATAAATTAAATAAACATTTCGAAAATGCTTTTTCACTCTAACACAGCATGAACTTCTAAAATACATTTTTTTACAAAAATGTTAGTTAAAAATATTTGTTTACATAAACAACTTAATCCCAAAAAGCATGTCGCGTGCAACCATAACGCGAAAGAAAACTATCTCGAATACTGCGCAGTTCCGAGAATCAAGTTGTCTGAGAGTTCCTGGTCACGTGAGTAAGGCCTTCGCTTACTCCTCCTCAATGGAATGGCCATGGGAACTCGACACAAGGCATTCGAAGACTCACTTGTTTGGCGAATTCTCTACAACTGGCGACCTCGAACCCATGTTAACAAGTGTGTGTGTTTGTGTGCTTCTATTTATTTTTATAAATTAATATTTTTATCCAGCAATGGAAGGGTAATTAAAGAGATAAAACAGCTTGCAGATATCAAAATAAAAGTATGAACTGGACTTTTTTTATATAATAATGATTAATTCTGCAAGTCCGAAACGCAGGAGTATAAGGGTCTGGGTGGTCTCGCTTACAGTCTTTAAATGGCTTAGTATTTGACAGGTAAAATTTAACCAGAAAGCATATATTCTTCAATTTAGCAAAATAATAACAAATTTGGTTTAGAATTTACATTTAATTAAATTAAATTAAATTAAATGAGAAGAAAACGAGTATATAAAACATTAAGATAAAATAAATCTAGTGAAATAAGGATTTCCTTTCCACTGAGAAACGTTAATTTTCCTATTTTATCTTATTTTATTATTTTCCTGTTAAATCTATTTCTTGCTCTTCATTTACTTTCCAAATGCATTATTTATTTTAAAAAAGAAAGAAAAAATAATTCAGACATTTTAAAAGTTTTTTAACATAAAATAAAAGTTCTTATTAAGTGAAAGAAATAATAAAACGGAATAAATTTATTAATGTATAATGCACATTAATTATTAATGTATATTAATTTTTAATGTATATTATTAATAATGCATATTATTAATGAATATTATTATTAATGCACATTAATGTTAATGCATATTTTTAATATACATTGGTAATACATCTATTTAATGTATATTAATTATGCTATTTACTGCATCATTGATAATACAGTAAATAGATGTAATTGGTTTTATAATTCAGAAAAATGTCTTTTCGACGTGGCGGTTATAAAAATAAATTAAATTACAAACTTAAGCTTTTTTTATTAGCAAGTAGGAGAATTTTAGAAATAAAACTAATTAAAAACACATATTTTTTTCAGTATAAACTTTATTCAATGTTCTCACACGAAATATTAAAAGCAAAATTATTTAGAAAATTTTTTACTGAGTTTCAAAAATAAATAAATTAATAATAAGAAAAAAAATACTACTGATGGCTCTTTACTAAGAAAAACCGTCGACCGTCATATTTTTTTGCAGAGCAAACCGATCTCATTATGCAGTATTACTGGATATAAGTTAAAAGCATTTGCAGAGGGCGTCCGGAAAAAAACTTAAAATAGAATAATTTCCTTTCCATAAATAGTACTCAAAATATTTACACAATATTCGCATCTCAAAATATTTTCCTTAATATATAAAGTTGCGACAATGATTTAATTGAATACGTGAAACTGAAATTATACGAAGTCGTAATTCGAACGTAAAATAGAAAGCATTCGCAAGTGAAGATTTAAAAGAACGAGTAGGTAAAAAAGTTGTGCTAAATCAGAGCAATTTATAAAAATTTTTGTGTGCTTAAATTACTCACTGTATCTTTTTTTTTCGTAACAAACTTAACTCTTAAGTTTACGTCATCTACCAGTTCATCCCACAGACATAAACGTTTTTTTTTTCTTTCTTTATTCCTTGGCAAGTGCTAAAAAAAACGTCTGATGGTTCTTAAAATAGTCGGGGCGATTCAGACGAAAGAGCTAGTAAAAAGCTCACAACATAAACTCCAATGACAAGTTGATTCAGCAACCAAAGTGCAATAACTTACCTACGTACCAATTTAACTGCCGGCTAAGTTGCCAAATTTTCTAAAATGCAGACTTCCTTCAACTAGTCCCGTTTTGCACGAATAATCTTCATCCGGTGTTAACAAATCACGAGTTCAAAGTAATGAGTTTTAAAATGTGTCAAATGGTGCTTAGCGAAATCAAAATATTTAAAAAAAAAAAAAAACCTCGTGGATAACAAAAGCGGAGTTTGGGAGAAGATAATAGTAAATTCATCAAATAATATTGAACTGAAATAAACAAAATTCAATTGTCTTACACTGAGAAAATATGTTCAAAACTACCAGAATGTGGTAAAATGTACCATGCTTCTTGCTCTATGGAAAAATCAAAAAGTTCGATAATTTTTACTGAAGCACTTTGGTAATGATTTTGGAAAAATTTATAATAAAATATGGCTTCATAGTATGTGATAAAATTCGGTAATTTTTATCATGATATCTCAGAGCATGGCATAAAAACCATTTATTCGGGTAAATTTACTTTCCAACTTTGTATATTTACTATGGTTTGTCTATGTAAGGAACTCCCCAAACCATTTGTCTGGACCTGTGGCGGTGACTATGGTTACGAGTTATAACCATTTCAGGTGGGGTCCTGTTTAGGACGGTTTTGGCTCGGGTCCGCGAAAGAAAGGGATCTTTTTCTTCGGTGTATCGTGATAGCCCTAGAGTGAAGAGAAATCATCATTGAACCCGAAACAGTGTTTAGAGCGTTCGATTATCTTTCCACTTTTTTCGAAAGTTTCTATTTCGGAAATGTTATACATGTTATAAATGTTATATATGTTCGGAAATGTTATTTTCAAAAATTATGTGCTTTTTTGTGTATCAGTTTTTTTTTCCTGATTTTCCTCGCTATTATGTGTCCAAATATTCAGAGAAATTTAAATTTATTATTTCTATGAATAATGGTTAATAAATAGGAGAAAAGTTTTTATAAAATTGCTTAAAGCAGTTTGATGTAAACATTTTATTAAAAAATAACTCATCTGTAAAGTTCCTATACATCGCAAATCAATTTTTAAGAAATACAGAAAAAGTAAAAATAAATTTGCAAATGAAAAGAATTGGAATTATTTTTCAATATATGGCGTGGAAAATTATAGAGACTTCATTAAAGTAAAAATAAAAAAATGTAATGAAAAAACTTTGAGAGCTTCAAATAGTTTGATGAGTGTTGATAAAAAATTATCATTGTTTGATTTAGATTTCATCCTAGTATCGATAATTTGTTTTTCGCTTCAGAAAAAAAGATATTATTTAGGATTAAAAAAAACTATAAATAAAATTTTAAAAAAACGTCTCCTTAACATGAAGACTTTAAAATACGCATGAGCAAAATTTCAAATGTTAAAATTTAAATGCCAAAGGGTAGCAAGGTATTAAAAACTGACATTTATACTTTTAAACATCTCATTGTATTATTCTCTGAAATATGTCCCTTCCTTTAAAAACATTTCAATTAACTGAATAGCAGCCAACTTGTATGATCGCCGGGACAGAGTTTTCAAAGAGATAAAATAACATTTAAGATATTATGAATTTTCTAATGCTTGAGCTATTTTACCAACACTTAAATGCATAGTTTCCTAATACACCTTATGCATTAAATAAATAACCCCAAGAAACTAAAGCAGTAAGATATTACTCGATTAAAAACTCCATTTGCTTCAAAAATATGCAACAAAACATTCAAAAGGTAAGTTGTCTCTCCCCTTTATTTTTTCCTTTTTCTTTTGCAACTTTACGTTTTATATATCAAATCACTTTTGTTCCTTCTCATTCACGTCTGATAACTCTTGCAAATAGGCGCCTGTTTTTCAGCGCTTAAAACATGCAGACTTCCAAAATCGGTTTGCATATCGTTAAAGTTCAAAAGTGTTTTTTTCTTCTTCATTTCATCAACTAATTTATTGTTTGTTCAATTGTATTTATAGACTTGATTCTTTAATAAATAAATAACATCGTGTTAATTTCTTTAATTGTTGCATTAGGTTAATTTAAGCGTACAGAAACGTTGCTGTTGTTCTCTCAAATATCATATTTTCGCTCAAGATCATGTTTTTTGCTCATTATCCACTAGATAGAGTCTAGTGGATAATGTGCAGATTATCTAAATAGTTCGTAGATTATCCAGATAGTTTGAGAAATGAAAAAAATTATTGGCACTTTAAGGATCACTCTTGTTAATTTGCCTATTAGCAAAAAACTGATAATAATTGATTTCTAAAATTTAGCTGTAAAATATTCTTAGGTTTATATTAATGATTTGTTATAGCAGAGATGATACTGATTAATTTTGTCAGAAATTATGTATCTAGTTCTTCTTACAAAATAAAATTCCAAAAGCTTATAGGAATTATGCGTACAAAATATATTGTACTATATAAAAAAAATAATCAACGCAATACGCTAACGCAGTACATTCCGATAAATGCTTTAACTGAAGAAATTGGATATTAATGAGTAACATTTTCGTTATTACATATTTCCAAAAAGTTAAAATGCCGAACTATTTATAAGTTTCAAAACATTGCAGTTAAAGTACTTGACAACAAGGTGAAGAGGCAAGGAACTTTCTATTTAAAATCTACAATGGCTTCCCAAAAATAAAACTGAAATTTTATGATAGTGTTTTAACACTTTATCTGACAAGTTTTAAGTGCGAACATCTGTTAAAGAAAAGGAGGCTAAATTTAAAAATCCCCTTGTGCACCCAGAAATGCCGAGAGTGCATGTTTCAGCGATAAACTTGCTATTTTTCAACTAATTATTAGACAATATGATCTTAAAGTAAAATTGTCATCTATTATAGTTTACTGTATAGAAAGGGGAAAATATCCCATCGCAGAGAAACAATATTCTGGTAAACTTACAGTAGTTCATGATAATGACGTTTCTGGTTTTAAAAGAATACAATTTTGCTAATAAAACCAAAATATATGGTATTTATAATCCCTTTTTCATACCATGCTCTAAGAAATCTAAGAATCTTTAAAAAGAAATTGGCCTTTTTTATTGAAGTTAATTTTTTATTTTTGTTTTACAGTTTGACTTACATTATTCAATTCATATTTGTTTCCTGTAATACGTTATTTATTCGAAAGGGGCCAAATGTTCTTTCAAACACCATTTTTAAAATGCTTCTTCAAATTGATCCTAATTATTCTTTTTCGTAAAACATACTTCCTTATAAACAATACTGCCTCTTACACGCTATTTCTTTCTGTTTATATTCTTTCATTAAACAAGATCAATTTTACTTATTTTATTTGATTGATATCTGTC